GTTGTCAACCTCTCCCGTCTGGGAAGTCAACTTATGGTTTCCATTAGAAGTCGGCATCAAGATTTTTGGGGAAAATGATGAAATGATGTTCGGTGTTTCCTTTTTTTTTTTTCCTTTGGACGGTTGCAGAACCCAGGCTTGTGACTCTGGGATTCCCACTTGCTGCTTTAATGAGTAAACTATTGCTCCCGGCGCTAGTCTTCCAGCACGCGGGACCAGAGGTTCGGATCTCTCCTGGGCCTTTGTCTTCTCCAATCTTTATCTGTTTGTACCTCCCCTCCCCCACTTGCTTCTCTGCGTGTCTTCGTTTCTCCGCTCACGTAGTAATTTCTCCTCCCGCCTTGGAACTTCTACTCTTGGTATTCATTTTGGGAGCCCAGCAGTCTTTTTTTTTTTTTTTTCCTTGTTTGATGGCTGCAGATTTGGCCCCCTTCTTCCGAGTCTTTGGCGCTTAAAAAAATTTTTTTTCCTGCTTCTTAAGTGTTTCCTTTTTCTTCCTCCCCAAGTGTGTTAACTTCCTTGGGGGGGGGGGCAGTCATCCATCTCCATTTTCACCTCTTCACTTTTCTTGGTCTTTTTTTTTTTTTCCCCACTTCATGCTCTCCACAGGGCAGCAAGGCTATTTTACATATGGAAGGAAGCTTTGGCTAAATCTGCTGGCATTCGAGTGAGTTCCTCTGAACAGCCTTTCCCTGGGTGTGGGCTCTCCCAACACTTCCTGTGTTAGCAAACCAGCTGGGAACAGCAAGCAGTCCTGCCTCTTCCTTGGTGCAAGCTGCGCCAGGTGTGCCTTTTAAAGAGAAATGTGTGAAGTCTTTGGCTTTTTCCTCAGTCTACTGCCAGAGGCTTTAAGTACTATGGAACTGACTGCTGGGACCAGAGAATCGGAATCTTGCAGCTAGCATTTTGTTGAGCCTCTAATGGTGCAGAGAATTGTAATACTGACTTGGAAGCTGGATGCCTACAATGGTTCTACCCTTTCCTATTCTGGGGATTATGGGAGACCTCAAGCCAAGAGGGATGTAGGTAGCAGAACCTTTTCCAACGGGATGCTGCCAGGGTTGTCTGTCATGGAGAACCCTTATGGTGTGGGGCGTCTGCTTTACACTTGCTGGACAGGATGATGGTTTTACCAGTTGTGAAGCAGACCCTTCTTAGGAAAGATTTTCATCAACAACGCAGTTAACGCAAAAACTCTGAGCCTGGGTATTGGCGGTAAATTTCGATGTATTGCGCAGACCTTACAGAGAACGGGATTAGCAATGCTGCTGCTCTTGCCACTCATTGCTCTGTCTGCACCCTTTCATTCTCTGCTTTTTTGTTCCTCCAACTCTGCCTTGACCTCTTAATCTCCTAGCCTATAATTTAAACATTCATATACTTGTCTATGTTGCAGGACATTTTAGGGTACCTATTGAGGATCCTGCAGCATCCTGCAGCCCTCTGATGAAAAGATCTGCGGCGGAGCTTGTTCTCGCCCCTTCTAAGACTGCAAGGAGTCACAGGATGGTGTCAATTAATTGCACATGGTTTCCCTTCCTGGGTCCACTGTGTATACCACGTAATGGTCATCAGTCTCATTATTTTGCTCAAACTGTTTTTAGTGGGTAGCCATTCCTAGAGCATGGAGTCTTGAAGATATTCCAGGTTATAATAAAACTGAGAAATAGTCGGATCCCAGCTTTCATCAGAAATGAAAAGCTGGAAGTACAACCAAGGAAGCATACAACAGGGATATTGAACTGAATGCTTTCCCTCACCTGGGTGGGAGGAGAGTAGTCATGTACCAAACACTGTTTTGTTAAACATTTTATAAGTGAAACACTCAAACTGGACGGTGGAGCATTTAAGAGTGTTTAAATTAAAAAGGAACATTACTTTCAGGAATCTTGGGTGGTAACTTCACCTTGAAAAGTGGTCTGATTTTTTTCCTGCAGACATTTCAAGGAAAGCTGGCCACCTATACTCTAGTTCAGGCCCTGAGATGCTGTAGTCCATCACAAAAGGTTACATTTCTTCAGTCAAGCCAGGGGTGATAAAATTAGAGTCTTTTTGGAGTTCTTATTTTCTCATTGTCCCAATTCTTTGGCTGGGTGGTACCCGGCAGTTTTTCCCTCCTGCCATTGGGCTGTTCAAGGGTCATTGACCTCTTTCAGGATCTCATAAAAAGGCTGTTAGCCCTTAAAGAGTCTTCCCCATTCCCTGTGGCTCATACCTCTCCCATTTCTCCTTCAGGCTCATTTTTAACTTTTATTTTTAAATTGATAAGGTTTTAATGGTAAGCATTTTCTTAATTACTAGTCTGAATTTCAATTTAAAAATATGAGAGGATGTAGGAGAGATCCATCGATTTATTTACTATTAGAAGTGTACCCAGTGACACCTGTGCTATACTGATAAATTGTAATTTTCCTAGCTGGTTGTAATGCTTAGGAGGGAGTGCTTCTAATGACTATTTTTTTTTTTTTAGCAATGTAATCTTGATAGAAGAGAAAAAGCACATTTATTCTGGTATTGTTAAATTTCTACAGATTGGAATGAGCTGCTTTTCCTAATAAAAAGGCATTCTTATAAAGACAATTGTTGATTTTCTGGAGATTAGAATGGGAATGACTTGTTTTCTAAAAAAGCAATAGTCCTTGGGGAAAATAACCTATAATTTTTCACAGCCAAGCAGTTACTAACTGTAAATCAAGACCTTTTTTTATATATACAAAAATGAGAGCAGTAAGCTTAGATGCCAAGAATTCAAGAGAAGTATTCTGTTTGTATTTAGTACAGATTCACCAAAATGGTTTTCATGTAGTTCATGTTTTCATGAATACATTTAAACATTCTTTTTTAAAATGTTAAATTTGTTTGAAAGGGAGACAGACAAGAAAGGCAGAAAGCCAGATGGGACTCCTTTCTGTCAGCTCTTCGGATGCCTGCAGTACCTGGGGCTGGGCTGGGTATCACCAAGCCAGGTGCTGGGAACTCAGTCTGGATCTCCCCCATTGGTGGCAGAAACCCGGTATTGAAACCAGCTCTGGTGCTTCCCAGGTCTGCATTAGCAGGACCCTGGAATCAGGAACTAGACCCAGAGCTGGGACTTGGGTGATGTGGGGTTCCAGGGTCTAACCTCTCTTAAATTCTGATAGGCACAGTGTCTGGAATCTAGGTGTGCTCTGAGGTCTGTCACTCCAGTGCATTGATACTTTCTGCTGTGTCATGTGAGAATAAAAGCAAAGCAGAGTCATCTGTTGGATATGGCTGACCATGAATTAAGACTGGTTCCACAATCATGCCAACTAGCTTTTGCTTGATTTTAGGAGGGGGTGGTCCTGTTCATGAAGCCTTTTGGGTACCTGTACGTGTTAAACCTTTAACCATACCTCATTTTATTCTCATAACCCAGTAAGGTCCATACAGTTAGGCTTCCAACTCTATTGCACACGAGGGAAGCTGAAGAGTAAGAGAAAGGAACTTGGCAGAATCGCAGTACTAGAAATGAGAACTGAAAGTTTCTAAAATCCATCTTGCCCGACCACCCACCTTCCCACAAGGATGACACCAGTACCATTAGACTATCTCTGTAGGAGCTCATTGAAACCTCAAAGCAACCTCATTTAAGATGGACTCGGTTAGGGCCTGGCGGCTAAAGTCCTCGCCTTGAACCTGCCAGGAGACCTTACATTGCGTTCCCAGGCACATTGGCAGGGAGCTGGATCGGAAGTAGAGCAGCTGAGACACAGACTGGTTCCTGTATGGGATGCCTGCTGGGGATGCAAGCAATATCTAAACACGCTATGCTGGAACGCCCGGCACTAGAAAGGATTTTCAGAACTTGTAGTCTTTACATTCAGTTGAGTTATACTGAATGGCTCTTCCCCATCCGTCAGCACTAATGCAGTTAGGATACTAGGAGCAGTCCTCTGTCCTTCTCTATTCCCCCAGATAAAATTGGAAGCAGTTGTCTTATTTTTTTATTTTCCCCCATTCCTCAGTGTACATAGGCATGTATCTTTCTTAACTGTGTAAAAACCGTCAAAAAGAAATGTATGTAAAAAATAGATTCATTTGGGTTAGAAACTAGAGGGACATCTTTTCTAAATGTGGGCAGTGCCCACCACAATCCCTTCTACCTTGTAGGCGCTCAACAGATATCTGTTGGAACATGAGTCTTATTTATAAACCAATCTGTGGTAGTTGCTCTGGAGTTTTTATGCCACCTTTGAGTGTGTTGTGACTTGTTATTAAATGTTTTGAGTCTTTAAAAGTAGAGTTTTGAGGATTATCAAAGCCTCTTGTTCTTCTGTCTTACCAGCTTACTGTCAAACAGACATTGTCCCCTTGGGCATGTGCTCAGGAAATAAATAATTTGTATAGCCCAATGTAATGGCTCAATGACTAAATCCTTCCCTTGCAAGTGCCAGGATCCCACATGGGTGCTGGTTCCTGTCCCGGTTGCTCCACTTCCCACCTAGCTCTCTCCTTGTGGCCTGGAAAAGCTCAAGTCTTTGGGACCCTACACCCATATGGGAGACCCAGAAGAAGCTCCTGGCTCCTGGCTTCAGATTGGCTTAGTTTTGGCTGTTATAGCCATTTATAGAGTGAACTAGTGGATGGAGTATCTTTCTTCTGTTTCTCCTTCTCTATGTAAATCTGATCTGCCTAAAACCAAAACAAAACAAACAGACTTCAGAAGACAAGAAGAGAGATAATTTATAAGGCATCCCGATGTGTAAAAGTTATCATTTTAGTTTTGGAACACAGAGGTGTGGTAGATAGTTCCCTTATTTGAGAAACTTCTAACATAACTTGTTGTTACCATATATAATTAAGGAAACTTCACAGAGCAGCCTGGGGTTAATGAATAGCTTAGTATTTTTTTGTCTATTGTATTTTTCCTTCACCATAAACATTCTCTAATTTGATTATTAGTGGTAGATGTTGTATTTCAGCTGGGAAATTGCCTGAGAAGAAGACTGACTTTCAACTTGTTTTATTATTTCAGGTATGACCTTAGTGTGACCGAACTTGACCATAAGTCCAGATTCTCCTCAAAGCAAGACTTTCCAAAGGACCAATGACTCTGTTTCCTGGGCGCTTTCATTTTTTCCTCCTCCATCACCATGTCTCGATCTCGCCATGCCAGGCCTTCCAGGCTAGTCAGGAAGGAAGATCTAAGCAAAAAGAAAAACAGCCAACTCAAGAAGACATCCAAGCCAGTCAACAAAAATGCAGCACTGGTCAAGACTCTGAGCCCTGGAAAATTAAAACAATTCATTCAGGAGAAAGATGTTAGGAAAAAAACTGAAACTAGACCGCCGCCAGTGCCAGCCAGAAGCCTTCTGACAAGAGCTGGAGCAGCCCGCATGAATTTGGATCGGACGGAGGTTCTGTTTCAGAACCCAGACTCTTTAACTTGCAATGGGTTTACCATGGCCCTCCGCAGCACGTCTCTCAACAGGCGACTTTCCCAAGCACCCATGGTGGTCTCCAAATCCAAGAAAGCTCCACCTTCTAAGAGTTTAGAAAAGCAGCCTGAATGTGATGAGAGGGTACTCGCTGACATGGTAGTACCACACCCAGCAAGTGATTCAGTCCCAATGCAAGACCTGCTCATCCCTCCTGATAGAGAGAATCTAGTGGGTCCACAAAATGCCTCTTTAGCTGAAGGCGAGAGCCAGGAGACAAGCCAGTCGTTTCAAATAGTTGAAAATTCCAAAGGAAATGTCCCCACTCACAGTGGTCCTGTAACAGAGTCCCTTTCTGGGCAGTTGGAAGGGACATGTGGTGGGGAGAGACTGTTTACTGAAGACACGTTGAATGATAGCAGCCATTCCCATGGAATGCCTGCACAGGACACTGTGTGTGCTCCTCTACTCCAAAGAACAGCTCCTGAAGTTACCTCTCCAAGAACCCCTAGCACTCAGTTAGAGGACTTGGGTTCCCGAGTAGAATCTCTGAAGCTCTCCGATTCTCACTCAGATCCCATCCAAAGTGAACATAATGCTTGCTCCACCTCCAGCTGTCCTAAGGCTGTACCTGAACTGGACCTGGGAAGCTGCTTGTCTCTCAGTGGCTCTGTCTACCCCACTGATCTAATAAAGCTGCTTTTGTCAGGTTCAGAGCAAGGAAGCCTTGGTGCTAAACAAGGTCATCAGGAGCCTTTCAAAGCCACCCAAGGCCAAAAGGAACCTCTTGATACCACTTCTGTTGTAGGACAGGCCTCTAATACTAACCCACATCCATTGGTATTTTCTGGTGCTAATGCAGTGCATGGTGGGGTCCTGGGTGAGACCCCAGATCCTCCAGGAATTCCCGGTGCTATTTCAGTGCAAGGAGAAGTCTTTGGTACTCCTCCAGGTCCACAAGAAACCCTTGGGGTGAGTGGAGATGTTGCCCTTGACCTGTCTTTCCCTCTTATGCCTGCAAACTTAAATGCTACCTACAGTGCTCCCCGCCAATGGCCTGAGCCCCCGAGCACAGTCTCCTATGGGCTGGGGGTCCAGGGTGCTGCACAGGTTTTACCTTTGGGTTCAGGGCCCACTCCTCCATCATCATCAAACTCAGAGTTCAGTTGTATACCTCCGGAAACGGCCATTCGTAATGCAGGACAGGAGAAACGGGCTCCCGCAAGCTTTGCACCAACTGAAGCCGGCGAGAGCAGAATCCACCACACTGCCCGGGATGTTGCCCAACCCTCCCAGGCCGATCCCCGCACACAGGATTGGGAGGTCTGCAAGGTCAGCCTCGGCCATGTTGTTAACCCCATTGGAGCATCAGTTCCCATGTCACTGGCCACTACTGTCCCTTCTTCCTTCACAACCTTGTTACCTACTTTGGAGAAGAAGAAACGAAAGCGCTGTGGGGTATGTGAGCCCTGCCAGCAGAAGACCAACTGTGGGGAATGTACTTACTGCAGGAACAGAAAGAACAGTCACCAGATCTGCAAGAAGAGGAAATGTGAGGAGCTGAAAAAGAAGCCGTCCGTGCTCGTGCCTGTGGAGGTAAGGGAACACCTCGGGAGCCGCGAGTCGCCGGGTGGCAGCTGGGTGGCAGCTGTGCCCTGCGCCGTGGGGATGCGTGTGGGGCGATTGCCACAGTAGTGCTTGGCATCCTTCTACGTTACTCTAAATTGTCTACAGGAATTTATGTTTGTGGCCGAAGTATGTCCTGTGGACTGGTTCCCAGAAAACTAGAGTGTACAGTTTTTCCATTATAGGATTTGATGTAGACGTAGGGAAACTGTATGAAAGGTGGTTTCGCAAAGACTTCCACTCTGTCTCATTTTGGCCGGTTGCTTGTCTTTCTTGGAAGTTACAGATTTAAAAAGCAAGAGCAGAACGAATTCATTAACTCTTGCAAGCCTAAAAAATCAGAGGAATTAAACTGCTTTGCTTTGGAAGGAGTTAGACTGTGCGCATCCTTAAACTTGCAACTTTTCCTGAGAGGGAAGAACAGTTTTGTTTCCATCTCAGCTTGTAGCAGGTCATTTCTACCTACTCCTTAGAACTTATGTCATTGGGATCAAATGAAAATAGAGTGTAAACTCCAATCATATAGAAACAGTAGTTCCTCTTTATGTTTATGAACCTTAGGTAGTGTAAGTCTCAATTGATTTTGGATTTAAAAAAAAAAGCTTATTTAGGGCCCGGTGCGATAACGTTGTGGTTAAAGTTCTTGCCTTGCATGTACCAGGATCCCCTATGGGCGCCGGTTCTAATCCCAGTGGCCCACTTTTCATCTAGCTCCCTTCCTGTGGCCTGGGAAAGCAGTTGAGGACAGCCCTTGGGACTCTGTACCCGCTCCTGGCTCCTGGCTTTGGATCAACGCAGCACTGACTGTTGCGGCCGCTTGGAGAGTGAGTGAGTCATCGGGTGAAAGATCTTCCTTTCTCTCTCTCCTCCTCTCTGTATATCCGCCTTTCCGATAATAATAAATAAATAAATCTTTTAAAAAGATTTATTTATTATTATCGGAAAGGCGGATTTTACAGAGAGTAGGAGCGAAAGAAAGATCTTTCATTCACTGGTTGACTCTTCAAATGACCACTACTGCCAGACCTGAACCCATTAGAAGCCAGGAGCCAGGAATCTCCTCTGGGTCACCCCCCACCAGGGTGCAGGGTCTCAAGGCTTTAGGCAATCCTCTACTGATGTTTCAGACTGTAAGCAGGGACCTGGAAGGGAAGTAGAGCAGCGAGAACACAAACTAGCGCCCATGTAGGATCCCAATACTTGCAAGAGGAAGATCGGCCACTTGAGCCATTGCACCAGGCATGGATTTATTTTATTTAAAGATTATTTATGTATTTGAAAGACAGAGTTACACAAGGAGAGAGATCTTCTACAATGATCACAACAGCTGGAGCCAATGGATCATTTTCTACTGCTTTCTCGGGCACATCAGCAGGGAGCTAGATGAGAAATGGAATAGCAGGGACTTGGAGCAGTGCCCGCCCAAAAGGGATGGTGTGCCACATGTGATGGCATTATCCACAGTGCTGGCTCCTAGGTTTAGGACTTAGAAGATTTCATGAATTATGACTGAAACCATCGCTTTTCAAAAATTATTTTTTTAAATTTATTTTTAATAGAAAGTCAAATTTACAGAAAGGAGAGACAGAGAAAGGTCTTCAAGTGCCCACTAAGTCCAGAAATGAGCTGATCTGAAGCCAAGGGCCCAGAACCAGGAGCTTCTTCTTATGAGACCTGAGCACTCCTGCTATTTTCTTGGCCACTGCTAATATTTGCTTTTATTTCTTATTGGTTCAGTATTCTTTCTCTGCAAGACTTTTTCCCCCAAATTATTTGAAAGATGGAGGTACAGAAAAACAGGGAGACCTTTTTTGTAAAATATTTATTTTTATTGCAAAGTCAGATATATGCAGAGAGGAGAGGCAGACAGAGAAGTATCTTCCATTCGATGATTCACTCCCCAAGGGACTGCAATGGCTGAACCTGCGCCAGTCCAAAGCCAGGAGCCAGGAGCTAGGAGCTCTTCCGAGTCTCCCACATGCAGATGCAAGGTGCGAAGGCTGTGGGCCACCTCGACTGCTTTCCCAGGCCATAAACAGGGAGTTGGATGGGAAACAAGGCTTCTGGAATTAGAACTGGTGCCCAAATGGGATCCCAGGGTGTGCAAGGTGAGACTTTAGCTGCTAGGCTACAACATTGGGCCCGGAACAGCAATGTAAAGAGACATTAAGAGATAGAAAGATGTTTCATTCACTAGTGCCCTTCCCAAGTGGTCACCCATCTGAAACCAAGAGCCAGGAGCTTCTTCTGGATCTCCCTTATGGGTGCAGAGGCCTAAGGACTTTGTGCCATCCCCTGCTGCTTTTACATGCTGTAAACCAGGGAAATGCTAGAGTAGTAAGAAGAATTATTTTTCAGAGCCCAGCACGGTAGCCTAGTGGCTAAAGTCCTTGTGTTGCATACCCAGGATCCTATAAGGGCACTGGTTTGTGTCCTGGCTGCTCCACTTCCCATTCAGATCCCTGCTTGACTAGGATGGCCCAAAGACTTGGGATCCTGCACCCATGTGGAAGACCTGGAGGAAGCTCCTGGCTCCTAGCTTTGGATCAGCTCAGCTCCAGCCATTGCGGTCACTTGGGGAATGAAACAACAGATGGAAGATCTTTCTCTCTGTGTATCTGGCTTTCCAATAAAGTAAATAAGCCTCTACAAGAATAAATAATTGGTTTTCATCTAAATTGGTCCATGATGACATTTTTTAATATTGCTTCATTATTCATTTCTTTTTTTTTTTTGAAAGATTTATTTATTTTTATTAGAAAGTCAGAGATCTACAGAGGAGGAGAGATAGAAGGATCCCTTGTCTGATGATTCACTCCCCAAGTGAACCACAATGACCAAAGCTGAGCCGATCTGAAGCCAGGAGTTTCTTCCAGGTCTCCCTCCTGGGTGCAGCAAGGCAGTGGGCCGTCCTTGGCTGTTTTTCCAGGCCACAGCAGGGAGCTAAATGGGAAGTGAAGCTGCTGGGATTAGAACTGGCACCCGTATGGGATCCTGGTGGGTCCAAGGTGAGGACTTTAGCTGGTAGGCCACAGTGCCAGGCCATCATTATTCATTTCTTGTTTCTAGATTTATTTATTTTATATTGAAAGCTACAACTAGAGAGAGAGAGAGAGAGATATCTTCCATCTACTGGTCCACTCCCCACATGACTACAATAGACAAAGTTGAGCTGATCTGAAGCCAGGAGCCAGCAACCTTCTCCAGATAGTGGCAGTAGTCCAGGGACCTGGGACATCCTCTGTTTCCCCAAGGACATTAACAGAGATACAGAGCAGAAATGGAGATGGGACTTGAACCAGTGACACTATGGGATGCTGGTGCCATAGGCAGAGGTAACTTGATATGACACCATGTGCGCAGTGTCTTAATCTGATGGGGCACAAACTGGTACCTTCTCAAACATTTTTTAAATAGTGTTTTTTGTGTGTTTATTTGTTTTTTTAGAATTTATTAAATTTTTTTGTTGTTGGAAAGCCATATTTACAGATAGGAGACACAGAGGGAGAAAGATCTTCCAACCACTAGTTCACTCTTGAAGTGGCAGACAGGGCTGGAGCTGAGCTGATCCTAAGCCAGGAGCCAGCAGCTTCTTCCAGAACTGCCATGCAGGAGCAGGATCCAAAGGCTGGGACCGTGGTGGACTGCTTTCCCAGGGAATTATGTGGGAAGTCAAGCAGCTGGATGCAAACCAGCATCCATACAAGATCCTCGTGCATGGGAGGCTAGGATTTATCCAGTAGGCTATCTACTTACCAATAATAATAATAATAATAATAATAATAATAATAATAATAATAATAAAAGAAACTAAGTTTAAAAAAAACATTTACTTAATTTTCTGGAAAGGCAGAATTTCAGAGAGGAGGAGTCACAGACTAAGAGCTTCCTTTGACTGGATCACTCCCTGAGTGCTGGCTGGGCGTTGACCTGAGCTGATTTGAAATAGGGGCCAGGAGTTTCTTTTTGGTCTCCCATGTGGGTGCAGGGTCCCAAGGCTTTGCACCATCCTCCATTGCTGTCCCAGGACACAAGCAGGGAGATGATATTAAGTGGAGCAGCTGAAACTCGACCTGTACCTGTATTGAATGCTGGTGCTTGCAGGTAGAGGTCTAGACAATTGTGCCATTGTGCCAAGTTCATTCTTTTCCAAAATTTTCTTTTTGCTTCTTGGTAGGTCTCTGCACCTATAGCATTTGCTTCTCTCCTAGGAAATACGACTTTTGTATTTTGTCAGTTTTCTTGGCATTTCCAATAGTTTAAATAAATAAAATCTTATAATTTGGCTTTTTTTTTTCATGAAAGTGACCTTTAATTTTTGGTTTATGTTTGTGGCAACTTTTCAAAAGTCACTATCGGTTATTTTGTCTCTGTATTTGAGTTTGTGTCCCCAAGTAACAATAGATTTGAGTAGCAAGTTTTTCTTGGTGGTAAAACCATCCTGTCGGGAGATACCTGATGTTAATTTTTTCTTCTCACTATTCATGATCTTCATTTTGGCCACTGGGCTAAGGTGGTGCCTTCTCTCTCTCTGCATTGCAGTGTTGGTAGGTGTTGATATTTCCCCCTTCTACCTCCTTTTTTTTTTTTTTTAATAAAATATTTATTTTTTTAAATTGCAAAGTCAGATATACAGAGAGGAAGATCTTCAGTCTGTTGTTACTCCCAAGTGGCCACAATGGCTGGAGCTGAGCTGATCCGAAGCCAGGAGCCAGGAGCCTTCCCCCATCTCCCACGTGGGCGGGCAGGGTCCCGAGGCTTTGGGCATCCTTGACTGCTTTCCCAGGCCACAAGCAGGGAGCTGGATTGGATGTGTGGCCCCTGGAATACGAATCAGCACTCATATGGGATCCCAGCACTGGCACGGTGAGGACTTTTTAGCTGCCAGGCTATTGCACAGAACCCTTGTAACCCAGATTGAGTCTTTGTGAATACCACACTCCCAAACTTTGATACCTTAGCAACTAAAG